TGTCTACTTTGGTATTAGTACATTTATCTTTGCTACTAAAATAATAGACCTAATCTCAAAATTGTAGATTTGTCATGATATGAAAACCTAATTTGTGAGATCTTAGGTGGAAGTTGCATCATTGTCTACGCTGATTCGTCGTATCATGACAGTCTGCAATATGATGTTTAGCATTCAGAGTAGAGAGCATATTTAATACAAAATGCAACTAGTTTTACAGAGTGGCCACGCCTGCATGGCTGAGCCACGCCATGTCGGTTCGACTCCATTCCTCCCGTATTCACCACTCACCTGTTAGTCGCTTAACTGATCCGATTATTCCTTATGTATATATATGTACATTTTAATCCTGTTAATTGACTCGCCAACTCACTCATTCATCTCGAGCGCTCACTTGCTTGCCCGCTTGCTTCTCGGCACCACCCTTTCATGCTTGCTCAGAGTACACGTAGTTATGGTTATCTGTGCGTGGTGCATTAATAAACATAATCAACACTTCGTATTCGCCTTCTGATTAATAGATTGTTGGGGCGTCATTCAGTGACGGTTATCAGGACGAACTGTATATGAATTTTAAGGATTATGTTGAATATCGACCACCACAAGTGGATAATGGCAAAAATTATTTACAAAATAAGTCTATGAGAATCATCGCTACAAACGTAAGTCGGCTAGTTGTCATAGATGATACTCAGAACAATCTATCCAGTCTACACAGATTCGGTGCTGACTGTTGACCAAGAACCTTGAGCTAGAGATGTGTTCCTTGTCGGAGAATATGGCATTTAACCTACATGTGTTAAATCCGCATAACTGTATGTTCATCTTGGAATATCTAACTGAGCATGTGACTGCTAAATGAATTACTTCAATTTTAATGGTCAACTTGTACTCAGTTGTGTGATTAATTCGTATGTCTTACATGTGAATCCTCCCAATATTCCTTTGTTTTTTGTCTCTCTACCTATCTATTTGGACACTATATTTTACTACTTTATTGATGCATAAATGCTTCAGACATGCTAACTAATTGATACTCTGGACAGTTTGTAATCATTTCAGTACAATGAAGATTGATGCACAGAACTCCAGTTCTGAGTTTATTTCACTCCAATACACTTGTTGAATATTCTACTACCAGTGTTATGTCTACTCTAATACGATTGCTGTTGATTATAAGTTCCAGTGTTAATATAAATCCAATTCATTTACAAATAAACTTGATCTTGACCTTAATCCAGTACTGTCATTATTCTAGTCCACTTGTATCCATTTATCTAATCATACTTTGACTGTTTATAACTACTGTATATGCTAGTGAATTCAAACACTGAATTATATAATCAATAACATTTGCATTCTAGTTCTTACTTGATTCATTTCTCCTTGACTATCGAGTAGAAAGATAAAGAATATATCAAAGACTGACAAAGTTAATAATTTTGGGGATTTATTTACCATTACGCAATTATCATTCCATACAACTACGGAATCCTTCACTGTTTAAATGGAAATCTGGGATTTTTGAACTTAGTAATATATCTCCAACTAATGTTCATTGGATATATACCAGGATTTGTATTGGAATCCATGTTAATGGTGTCTAGGATAAACTCAATAATTTAAAGACTAACAGTGGGAGCCGGGAAGTATGCATTCGTAACCTCGGAATATGACCTGCTTTCTTTGAATCCACGGCAACCATCTGACTACAATGAAATAGAGTCCCCTGGTTTGATTTCTTGGGTGGATTTTACCACTTTTTATTCTGAAATTCAAGTGTTAAATATTTTGATGATACATATATTTTGAGGTATCTGCAATAAAGTGAATTTTAGTTGTAATGTTAATGAAGGTTTATCTTTTCCCCTTGTCGATGTTAAATACTTGAACTAATCAATCTTTATTGGTAAATCTACATTCTGAATGGATTGTCTCAATATTTCTATTTAGTCACAAGGTTTTGTTGAAGCTATACAATATTAAACAGTGAAATCAAAAACATATTTTCTCTCTTGTTTAAAACTCATCAGTTAGATGTACCTGTATGCAAATGTTGCTGTTCACACTGAAACTCGAACCCGTTGAATAAGTTATGATGTATCTTAACCCCATACCCCAGGAGATGACTCATTCAAATTCAAAGAAAAAAAGCACTTCGTTACAATCTTAATGTACGTAACAACACTAGGATGTGGCAGTGTGATAATTAGAAGTATTTGAATTATAGTACAAACTAAGAATTGCAGAAATAACGCAATTGGATCAATAAGTACTATATAAACACGAACTAATCTATTGTATTCGAAATTCGAAATCAAGCATTCAACATGTACAGAGGAGTCGTTTGTTCATACAAACATCACAGGCAGGTAGATCTATGTAGCGGGTTCGAAATAGAACACAATGTTATCTCCATATTCCATCCCTAACCATATATTATTATTATTATTATTATTATTATTATCTTAACACATAGATATTGGTACAAGGAGGCACCAAATACATATGTGCCACACAAATCTCATTCGATATGTGTGAGGGCTGTGATACTGCCCGGGTACCCAAACCAAAGCAGGTGGTTTTCTTAGAGGGCCACTCCCCGAGCCTTCGACCTGGGGGTCTGACCTACAAGGCAGTGGAGCATCGTGAGGAGATGCAGTCCAATGGTAGCCGGTGACCAACAGTTGGTTCATACTCCATTTGTTCCCGCAGGATACTGGAGTCCATGTGCACCATTGATTTGGAATCCGGTTAAATCGCCAGATATTCGCTTTTCGTCCTCTCATTTTCGTAAACAACACCCCCGCCACGAGAAGGCAGTGAGTAGGACTTCCCTGACAAAGGCTATATAAGCGTGGCCATGTGAGAAACCATATACCAAATATATTACTTATTATTAATCAATCTTCTTTAAATATATGTACAATAAACGGAAGTTTTTTTCCTTTAAGAAAATCAGAAATTTGTTCGTTTCATTACGGAAGAATAAATTTTCGAAATTAAAAAAAAACAGAAGAGTTTAATTATGTTGTTCTTTTTTTCTTTCTTCTGGTTACGTCATCACTGGTTTTACACAAATATGTATTATCATGTCATAATATTTTTGAGTTCATTGAAGAGAATAATAAATTTGATATCTAGAACCAAATAAGTCAACCTTAATGAATGTTTTTTTTTTGAAAAAAAAAAGAATAACTTAGTATAGTCATTCACGTGTACTGAAAAGAAGGGGGTTCCATTAACGAATGAATAATAGAGATAGTCAAAAAAGTGATAGGGAGAAAGCAAAATATCGTACATCCATTTTCATGTACCATTTTAATGTACACATGTCATACAATCACACGTGTTTGTCTATTTCTTTTCATGACATACTAACATGAATAATGATAGTTATAATAATATCTTATGATTACGTAATCCTTATGAATTGCATGTCTAAAGTGATTACTTTTCTCTTTTGACTTGATCCGATCATTTTTGGATGTTGCCAGTAAAAAAAAAACAGAACATCTTTTTAATCGTAAAGTAAAAATAATGTGAATAATCTAGTCAAGTATTTATAATTGAATTGTGAATTATAAAATAGAACTGATTGAGATAAAATTAATAAAGAAATGGATTAGTTGAAGTGACGTTTTTTTTATATTCCTATCAAGTAGACTTTACTGGACAATATTAATAAGAATTATTAATGTACACGTGGTATTAGTATGATGAATTGATCTTAGCTAGAGTATCATTGAAAATCAGGAATCACTGGATATTTGTTTCGTCCTAGTATAAGACTTCTCAACAGTGAGCATTCATCACAGGAGATCGAATCTAAAGTCATCGATCTTGAGGTGAATGCTTAACTTCTAAACCACTAAGCAGGCATCCGACAATTTATATATCATATTTCATGTGTTAACTAATGTATAGCTTCAAGATGTTATTCCTAGAATTCTTTTGAGAAGCTGTGATCATTTCAGTTCAACTATTTCGGTGTTGAACACATATCCATCTCAAGCAATGGGAAACGGTTGTGCTATATCGTGAATTGATTGAAGTAAAACATGTATACAATCAGATATGGGTCCAGTGATCTAGAGGTTAAGCGTTCATTGCAACGTTCGATTCCTTACAGTTTAATCGTAGATGTAGGCTGATGAGAAGTTCCATGTTAGGATGAAATAACTCCTCAATGCTCCCTGATTTAAATTATGAAGATCACGTATAGACTGGCTTTTCTATTTCTAGAAGAAATCGACATAAACATATGATTACTGACTTTTAATAATTACTACTTCAAAGATAGATAGATAGATAGATAGAGAGAGAGAGGGAGATTCAGTTGATGATGAACATCAACTCTACAAAATATCTCTCTTAATATTCAATTCTTCAACATGAAGTTAAAATTTGTTTTATTGAATAGTCACAGAAAATAAACCATGTGTTACATCACTAAATCTAAATATTTAGTGTGTACTTAATAAGAGATGGGTAACATTATAAATACTATACAAAGATTTATAAGATACAGGAAAGCATTCTGTAGCCATATCATTACATACTTTATCATAGTAAGTTGTTTGAAGTAAATAGTTTAATTGTGAAACTTATCCAATCTCTCTAGATAACACTATCAATACCAATTTTATTTTGGAATCTGAATGATACAGGTACTGATTATGTTGTCTAGATCAATAACTGAACAATCCCTAAATCCTAAAGCTGGGTAGCAACACTATATAAGATAATATCAATAGACAACAACAACAAAATAATAAATCATCATGTTTATTTATTGATAATCATAATAAAATAAAGTTTTATTTTCAAATATTCACTTAATCGATAAAACGAAAAGAGACTTGAACATTGAACAGTTACATTCAATAGATTGTTGTTTTAATATTTACAAAGATCATTCATTATTTTTTTTGTACAACCATCATCATCATCATCACAAAAAACCAAAATCGAATTTCAGTAAAAAAGATAATAATTTCCAAGCATATAATAATTCACAATTAAAAAGTTTACCCGGTCAACAATGGACAACTTAGTAGTTAGTAACAGTTGAATAACCATAGTTATCGGTATCGGTGGAAAATTTAGATACTATCGTTTATATTTTACGTAGATTCTTGTCCAATTATTGAATTATGATTGATTGGTTGATTTGTATGTGGAGATTTATTTAATAAATCAATTAGGGATATGATGTAATCACGCGCACGCTAAAAATAGATTAAAGGATAAAGATCGTTTATTTTTTGGGGGGGGAGGGGGAGGTTGTAGCGATTTTTTCCACTATGTAAGTTCAAGTGGTAGTAGAAACCAATATTGGTGAGAAGCTTTATGCTAAGACGAAAACACTTTAGTACCTGTTTGCTTTCAGTGGCACTCAAAGTGAGATCAGCCCGTGCAAAATAGACCGTATAAATGGAAATTTTATTTTTGATAAAGTATAATAGGTTTACTTTATTAAAATGTTATAATTTGGCAATTAACAGGCATTACTAAACTGAATTTAGACTGTACCTTAAATCACATTTTAAGAGAATTTTCTGGTTTGCTATTAGAAGCTATGAAGATTTCATTTGGACATTCATATGCTCGTTTATCCATAAACAATGTAGTACACAATTCATTGATTTTTGGGTCTAGTTCTATAATGCTGGTCAAATTTTATGGATCAAGTTGCAATAAGCCCACTAGCCTAAGTCACTTAAGATTGCACCTCTGGCTCGGTTCCACAGTGAGCATTAGTCCCCTTTTAACCGTATTTTCACCTTGCTGACAAGTGATAAGTAGAGTTTACTACATCGCCTAAATAATGTAGGTTTGATCCCTCTTAGGGTTATGAGTGCATATTGCGGAAGAGTCTTACATAAGAACAAAAGAATTGTCCGGTAATCCCTGATTTTCAGTGGTTGTTTAGCTAAAATCAGCCTATAGCGTATAATATCTTCAAAGTGAATAATCCTCAAAAGAATTTTCCTTTTAAAATATGAATTGTTAGTTAAAAATACTGACTCGTTAATCATTTACTCAAGAATTTTCAGCCAAAAACAAAATGACACAGGTATATTCAGTCTTTCAATAAATAATGTCTGTTTGGTTTTATCTCGTCATCAAAACTATTTTGAGTTTCTCCTGCCACCACCACCTAGAAATTTTTAATTATTTGACATCAAATGCCCTGGCATGACAGAGGGTGGGAAAAGTCAGTTCTCCCTTTCGAAATGCTCTCACATGGCCATGCGTATACAGCCGCTGTCAGCGAAGTCCTACTCAACGCCTTCTCGTGGCAGGGGTGTTGTTTACGAAATTAAGAGGACGTAAAGTGAATGTCCAGCGGTTTAACCGGGTTGGTGAATGTGGAGAATCCACTTTAGGGAGTTGGCAAACCCAGATTCCAAACCAATGATGTACATGGGCTCCATGATCCTAAGGAAACAAATGGTTTATGAACTGTTTGTCACCGGCTACCATGAGACTGCGTATCCTGACGTTGCTCCACTGCCTTATGGATCACACTTTTAGGTCGAAGGCTCCGGGTGTGGCCCTCTAAGGAAACCACCTGCTCCGATCTGGGCACCCAGGCAGTACCACAGCCCACACAAAAATCAAGTTACTTGTGTGGCGCATATATATTCGATGCCCCTTTGTGCCAATATTTATGTGTTCAAATAAATAAATAGACATGGTTAGCCTAATATTATATGTGACTTTCAAAGAACTACCAGCAAATTAATGAAACATTGAGAATTGTTTCTTAAGATAACGTATCAGTGAAAATAGCCTTAATTTTAATTAAAGTAATCATTTCAGTCAGTACTGTGAGAAGTGTATTGATGAAACAGAGCTAGGAATACCATCTACATTGATTGTGTGAAATTTATTGTAATTTCTGATTGTCAGATTCTGATTCAAATGATTTCTGAAGTACTGTAATACAGTGAACTGTCTATTAACACGGTCCTAGCTATCATAATGCAGGAGGGACGTATGGCTTTTAAACACTTTCAGGAATGTTCTTAACAATCCAACAAGCTAGTGGCTATTGGGACTCAGTAGATAGGTGGATAACGCTGTGGCGTTATTGGGTTCAAGTCCCTGAATGAACATCAACTCTAGGATGCAAGTACATTCATCTGACGAGTACTGAAATCAGACGAAACGAGCTTTCTAGATTTAACTGCTAGCCACCATCCATTTTCGCTTGAGCATTTATAATAAAATAGAATAGTAAGTATTTCAGTGATTAAAATACTTTTTGTAAAAATAAATAAATTTTCAACTTACCCTTAATGTTTCAATTTTACTGAGTTTTATTGATTCACAAGAAGAATGCGGTAAAACAATTCTAAGTTGTTCTAATGCATTATTCAATGCATGCATTCTAGCACGCTCTCGTCGATTGGCTTTTAATCTTCTTAGCTTGCTTACTGAATATTGACAATTCAATTGAATATTATATTCTTCAATTGATTTATAAAACATATTTAAATTACTCCACAAAACAAATCTATGGTGAATGAAGATTTTTGGGCTGGGGGTTAGAGGAATCAGTGAACGTGTTCAATCAAAGGTGATTAATATCTAGTAAAAATTTGTTATTAAAATGAAAAGGTTGTGAAGATTGTCCATTTTAAAGATTGTTTACTTTACTGATTGATTTTTAACTAGGCAATTATTTAGATCCAGTGATCGCTAATTGTGAATACGAACTCTGGAAAAGTTAACTACAGGACTGAAATAGTTGTCTATTATCCATTACCCATAGCTTTATACAACGATTTCTTTAGCAATCTCTCAAAAAATTTGATTTCACATGCAAGATAATTTTCTACACAATTTTCTATTTATAATAATAATGTGCTCACTAGTGACTAGCTTCAAGATTAATTTCTTGGAGTTCTGGTGAGAAGCTGTGACCAGTGGATTCCAATCCGTGTCAAGTGTGAGACAGTTATCCACCTCAGACAATGGATGAAGTGTTGCAGACGACCATTAATCGATTGGAATTAGACATTAACATCGTTGGATACCGGCTCAGTGGTCTATAGGTTAAGCATTCGCGAGAGACCGGAGGTCCTTAGTTCGAGTCCCGCGTACGAAGTTGTGGATATACACTACTGAAGTGTCCCACACTAGGACGAAACATCCATTCAGTGCCTCTGGGTTTTCAATGGTGGTCTAGCTAAGGTTGGTTCATGAATCCAACTTTGAAAATTGTTATAACTGTGAAAGTAATGCTGCGGATTAAGGGATAGCGAATTATTGATCAGACCAAAGACGCATAAACACGTAGAACAGCCTAGGGTTCTGATTGGTCTCGCTCCCCTGTCTAGCCCAGCCGGTTGAGTCCAGAACGAAAGTCTTAGCCTCGGATATATGAATCATTATATTTCAAACATACTTGTTTATATACCATCCAAGCAGTCCACAACGTACCATAAAATAGAAGATAACATTGTACAATAATGGCCAGTAGGAAAATGACACGTTAAATAAATACTGACCAATAAGATGATACCATTTCATGTCCAAGGATAGCACTAGGCTTAACAGGATAATTTTTGGGATATTTTCCTGAATATCCCTACAAAAATACTACAATCCCCACGTAGTTAAAAAGAGTGTACACATGAATCTGTGTAAATATTTACAAAACATCACTATCTCATTTGATTTGTTGTGACGATGTAAGAATATAACGAGAAATTTTACAGTCTAAATCAGTAAAATTTGTTACCGCTAAATACTGTTGATTGAAGCTATCAAAATACCTGAAGTGAATTAAAAATGCTTCAGTGTAATGCTTGGATACTAAACTGACTGGGAATTGAGGTTCAATTAGTTAATTAAGTCTCCATTTTACTTTAATATGAAATACTTTTTGGTTCCGTTCGACAAATACACTGATATAGAAAGAGTTGTCTGAATGTGGAACATGTTTATTTGCTTACTTGTCATTCACATGGAAAATTATAACCTTCAGATTGACTATTTCCTCTTAGGAATCAGGATTCAAGATAAAATATCTATCATTTCTAGGATATATTCGGTAAGAATTAATTTCATTTAGAATAATATCGAAAACCACGAAGCATTAAACTATAATTTTGTCTTGGTATATGAATTTTCATCAGTATACAAATGTGATCCTACCGAGAGCTGAACCCAAGACCGTCAAGTCTTACACCGTATACTTACTCCTGTTACTCCTAGTGGAGGAACATAAGACGCCCACCAGCAGTCTCCATCCAACCCTATCCTGGGCAATACTTTTCAGTTCCTTCCAGTTGTTATTCATCCTTTTCTTATCTGCTTCTATTTCCTGACGTAATGTGTTCTTTATCCTTCCTCCTTTCCGCTTCCCCTCAGGACTCCAAGTGAGAGCTCGCCTCGTGATGCAGTTTGATGATTTGCGTAATGTATGTCCTATCCATTTCCATCGTTGTTTCCTGATTTCCCCTTCACTTCAAAGCTGGTTTGTTCTCTCCCACAGAAGGCTGTTGCTGGTGGTATCCGGGCGATGGATGTTGATTATCTTGTGTAGACAACTGTTTATAAATCGTTGTACCTTCTTGATGATGGTTGTAGTAGTTCCCCAAGTTTGAGCTCCGTACAGTAGAACTGACTGTCTTGACGTTCGTATTGAAGGTTGTAACTTTGATATTGTTTGAAAGTTGTTTTAAGTTCCATATGTTCTTCAATTGTAGGAATGCGGCCCTTTCTTTGCCAGTCTTCGCCTTTATGTCTTCATCGGATCCTCCTTGTTCATCGACGGTGCTTCTCAAGTACGTGAAAGATTTTACATCTTCCATAGTTTCGCCATCAAGTGTGATTGGATTGGTGTTCTCCGTTACACCGTATAATTGACCATTAAGATGAATTTACTGAAAAGAATAGTTACTATTCATGATATATTTGGATGTATGAATTTTGATATCAGAAAAATAGTCTTCAAACAATTAAACTTATTAAACATACTACTTTACATAACTGAAAACAGATCATACTTACTTTTCAAAAAGATAGTCGTTTTATGCCAAAATTAACCCGTTTTAATTCAATCTAAGAAAATACTATAATCCCTTGAATTTAGATCCAAGTTAGTAATTCCATTATAAAATTGATGATGAATGTATATGTGTATGTATATACTCAGCTTTTATATAAATGAACTTATCCATAAAAATTTACTACCCCCCTCTCCCTCCTAACTACCATTTTTAACTGTCTCATCTTTTTTTCCAAAATTGTTTTAAAAAAAAATCTGATTGGATTATTTTATTCGGGTTTTAGTCTGTTTTTTTCCACTCTTAGTTTATGATGATGATTTTGCTAATTGGATTAAATTGATCATTTATCTATTTTCAGAAGGAGTTTTGTGGAGATCTTAGTAATTTCAATCCCATACTACGATGAAATAGTCGTCTAGTGCTTTTAGGTTTTCCATAATGGTCTAGCTTCAACTGACTCATGATTTCAACCATTGAAATTACTAAAATCCTCACAAAATTCCTTCTCATATTAATCATCTGCTCACTAGTGACTGAATTCAAGAAATATATCCTGCAGTTCTAGTGAGAAGCCGTGACCGGTGGAGTCCAACTAGGTCTATTGTGAGATATCAACTCACTGAACACAATGGTGTACGGTGGCGCAATTTCGTGGATTAGTTGAAGTTATATATTAACACCGTTGGATGTCGGCCAGCTCAGTGGTCTAATGATTAAGCGTTCGCGCGCGAGACTGATAGGTACTGGGTTGGAATCTCGCGGGTGGTGGGACCGTGGATGAGCACTGTTGAGGCTTCCCACAATAGGACGAAACGGCTGTCCATTGCTTCTACGTTTTCCATGATGATCTAGCTTCAATTGACTCATGATTTCAAACATTGAAATTTATTTATTTTGTTGTAATCGATGGATAATAAATTGGTAGTAAGTTTAAGAGTTCTGTTGAGAAACTATGAGCAATCGAGTTTAGTCATATCAGAAGTTGGGCAATCAATGTTTACTAACTGAATTAGATAATTATTGCACAATATTTTGAATTAATTGAAGCCAGAAATGTAAACCATTGGACACTGGTTCATTGGTCAAACAGTTGAATAATTGTTGCGAGATTAAAAGTCCTTTTTTGTGTATGATTTAATTTGCCTCACAGATATAAAAACTAAAATCTGTAAATGCGATACTGGCGATCCTAGAGACTATGGGAAAGCTATAGTCAGAACAAGGACAGCTTGGGTTTGAGCTTTATCAGTTTCTAAACGTAAAAACAATTAGATTAGTACAATAATTAAAGGAATTATAGTCATTAAGTGTAACACACAAACATAACGACCAGTATTGCATGTGTCTTATCGAAATGAATAAAAATTGAGTGACACTAATATAATAGGATAGTAATATCCCTCAATTGACAGGGATAATCTACAGACACATCAGATCAGATTGACATTGTGGGCGCTTAAGCAATCATTTGATTGGTTATTATGGACATAACTAACGGTTTGATCCCCTGAGAAATCACGGGTGACCATTGTTAAGGAGTCCCATCCTGGTACGAAATAATCATTCTGTTCTTCTGGATTTTCAGTAGTCATTTAACCAAAGCAAATTCGAGATTTAAACTATGAAGGCGTAGATCAGCATTAAAAAATGTCATTAAACCTGGAAAAGAGTAAGTTTTTTGGTGTTTTACGACTGTTGACTTTCACTGAAAGACTGCAAATTTCTCCAAACAGTAAATTGTATTCTCATACAGAATTCAAAGACAGAAATAATTTATATTTGTCGATCAATGAATATTGAATAGTGTCATTCTTGTCCTGTCCTCAGTGTTGATCGAATTCTATCGATCAAGTTGGAATGTTCATTCCTGTTTGAGTAACTTGACATCGTATGTACAATGTTGTTATGTTGGGTGCTGGAATGTAGTCGACAAGAAATCCTGAACCTAGAGTTCGATCAGGACTCAGTGATAAGCAAATGCAAATGCATCAGTCTCAAAGAACACAAATCTCTGTCCGAATACTTCAACCAAGTGACCCAGGTTTGAATCCTACATGGAGCATCAGTCCCCTCAAAATTGCAGGTAAAATAAAATATAGATTCAAGGTTTCCTATCGACTACCTTCGACCACCCAACATTAATTCGGATGGTTTCATAGAGACTTCATGTAATCTGTTGGTGATTCTCACGACGGATAAAAATTGCACAAATAAGTTGTAAAGTTTAGGTTTTTAAGTACCGGACAGCTGTTTCACTGTAGCTTAAGATGTTCTCGGTGTGTACACGCACACGATCCAATCCAGGATGTAAATATACAAAAAGCAAGAACTACACAATCAAACCACTTCCATAGTCGTTTTACGAAACAGATCGATTCTTATTCAATTCCCTTAATTAATTACTGAGTTGTTTCCAGTTTGATTAAATCCCCAAATCACAGCTTTTTAATATGACATTGAATTCTGTTATTT